TTGGGCGAATTGTTCTGCGGCCCGAGAAAAAATGTCGTGGTCACTGGCGGGTTAATTTGCTTTAATCTAGCAAATGCACTAAAGAGGGAAGCGCAAACATTGAAACATCCTTAAAGATGATCTTTCTCCCAGCCTGGCTGGTTCAAGGAGCGGATTCGGGGTTCGCCCACATCTGATTCCTTACTGTTAATAAATTGTATATTTAAATGTACTAAAATATACTGGCTGTTGTTTACTGACACAAATGATTACAGTTAAAATAAACTCCATAACACTGGAAGAAACATTAACAACTATAACATTTAATTTAAGAAGTCGAACTAATAATTAGACTGGCTTTGGAGATAAAAATTGGTCCCTGATTATGGATGGGGATAGGAGACCAATCTGTCCACTTAACTGTAGCTCGGGTTTCTTTGGTCAGCTTCTAGCTAAGCCTCGGAGACGCTTTTTGGTAGGCCAAATTATCTAGTCCAGTCTAGGCAATCGGGCACCTGCAGCTACGCTGGAACTCACTTCTAGAATTTCCATCTGGAACTCTACCTGGCAACAGTGCCTCCAGTCCTCATATAACTGTTACACTACACATATATATATAGAGTCGGGTAGTAACAAGTGTTCAGTCCTTCCTGTACCGAATGGTAATGTTTACAGAACACATTCCTGATAGGGAAATATTTCATAAACATCAGTTTCATGAATACTTTCAAGCACAAAAGTTTACATCACACAATAAGAACATTCATCAGTGTGAATTATTTTGATCTCTTTTCACCAGTACTCCTTTAAGGGATTAACATGCTTACACACAGTCACCTTTCACAATATATTCTCACTTCAACCATGTGGGTTCATATCACAAAGAATGAAAATTGGGGAGTGAGTTTACATGGACATGAAACTCATAACAGGTGTGTTGCGCAGTTTGAAAAACAAATGGGAACTATACAGTCAGTGTAACTAGGCGCTAGAATAGATGTCATAATACAATCATAGATGACAACGGGCTTCCTATCTATCACAGTATTACCATAAAATATTCAACCGCCATGTGGTATTTACTTTCCAAGCTCTTAAACTAGTCTCAGGATTCTCTGGGCTAAATCTAAAATAAAGCAAGATTGATTTATCAAGCTAATATCATTATGAGGTCGAATCAAAATGGTAAGGATTAGGTAAAATGAATATACACTTGATTCCTTCATTAATCGTCTCACCATGCTGAAAATCGGGACTGGCCGAGATTTCATACGAGGACATAAATTCTCACTTAATATAATTATAATAATTACAAATACCAATTCACGTTTCAAGTATCAAATAAACATTATGTCAATCATCAAATAGATCATGTGTTTACATACATGTACATGTCCTGGGAAAGTAAAGACAGCCGGCGTAATGCTGACCACATTACCCACCGAGTGCTGATGGTCTGTAAAAATATGGGATGCTCTGCCCATATGCCCAATGCGCCGAAAGGCGTGAAAAGGGATCTTTACTTTACTTTTTTACTTACAAACTAGATCATAAACGTGGTTAGTTGAGATGAAGAAATTCATCAAGAGCTCTGTCCACCATGTGGACATCACATTTTATAGAGTTCAACAGATACTATTAATTCAGAGGACTAGCAGCAATAAATCAAATTAAAATAGTACTATTCACTCACCCCTGGTAGGCAATTCAAACAGACAATTGTACTACAGTACTGTCTAACAAGGTATGTACTGAGTCAAATGAAGATTAAAAACGAAAATGTATGTTTCCTTCCTCAACTATGTGTTTCTGTTTGAAGAAAAAAAAAGAGGCAAAAGAAGTGCTTGGGGCTTCTTGGCAAAAGTTGATGGTCGACGTTTTGTGCAGGAGAGCCTAGCATATGATACCACAACATCCAGCTTGAGAATGGAGGTGGAGGCAGTCACTGCATTTTCCGCTGGTTAGAGAACACGACACACACACACACTTCGTGATTGTAACTGACTCAGAAAGCATGCTGAGGAAGATCATGACAGACATGCTTCGTGCAGAGTGGCATGCTTTGCTGCAGAGAACAAGGATGAGGAGTATTGTCTGGATTTTTTTTTCACCGGGGCACGCCGGTGATTTGGGAAATGAACAGACGGACAGACTGGCTTTGTGCAGCTTGATGGAATACTGATACATGATAAGGCAGACTTGGTTAGTGCCTTGTGGGAGAGCGTGTACAGTTCGGAGGAACAGATGGATCACCACAGTCTGGTGAGATTGATGCAGGGGGGAGTTACGAGAGGTTCTGGCAGATGCTCGAGGCTCAAAGTAAAGGCAAGACGGACAATCAGAATGCTACTGGCACCATTAGTATTTGAACTCTTTGATGGCTGCTGAAGATGGGGACGGAGCGCTTATGGGAATGCCCCGAGTGCTGTGATGTCGGTTCTTAAATCAAATCCGGGTCGTCTGTCTTGAAACTGTTTTGAGCAGTTGTTTAACAAATGACTAAAACAAACAGAATAAAACTGCGACTGTCTATCAAGTTTCTCAGTCGTAACCACGCCGCTGCTGCGTGTGAGATCGCATGGTGTTGACAGCTTGAATGCAGCTCTCGATTTGCATTTAGCACGCCAGCGGCTTCAGTTTCCGGAAACGCTGCCCTGGGACACGTGATCTGCCTGGTCTCTCTCCAAGCAGACGGGATCTCCTCACGATAACTTCCGATAAACTGCCGGATATCCGTTATCTGTGCTGCTCTGTCTTATTTTCTTGTGGGCTGACGGCGAAAGAGTACCGCTGCAAGACGAGTCGTGTAGAAAGGACAGACACTCGGCTTGTATCATGTAGCTTGTAGTTGTCTGATGCAGGATTCTCCTCCCCTCTGTCCTTCCGCCTTCAGCACCAGGTTCTGGATTTTGTTTGAATCGTGTGTCCATTGAGAAAAGGCGCTCGCTGCTTTTCTATTCACCTGTTTGAATATGCTTAAGAAAATTCAGACTGGATTTATCAGGCAGCAATGGATTTATATGACCTACTTTAGAGCTAGAGTAGTTTATGGATTTTAACACTAATCACCTCGCGAATGGCTGGCTCGACCTTCATCTTTGTGCCGGGTCTTGGGTGTGTTGGAGGCAGCGAACGTGCAGGTTATCTTGTAGAAACTGCAGTTGTTATCGCTGATCAGCAACTGGACCAAAGCGATGTTGTCAATGTCATGCGTAGCATTTACCGCGATGACGAATACAGCAAAGCGTTTGATTCTGTATCCCTGTCTATGCTAGTTGGGGATGGGGGGTGCATCCTGAAGCTGCAAGAAGGGAACATTTCACCAAGGGGACAAGTTAATTCAGGTTAGTTGCGTATCCTTTACCTGATGTTGCAGAATCAACACCCGCATTTTTTGGCTGTTGTTGTTTCTCTAGGCAAATTTACGTGCAGCAGTTTGCATTTGCTTTGTGGTCGGTCGGCTTCTCGAGACCTAATCGAAACCAGCGCAAGGCCCGCAGCTGCGATCCAACCTGCACTCCGGCATTGCGAAGCGCTGCCACAACGCTCAAGCCACAGACGCTGACAAGGGGACAAGACGTGTGAAAAATTAACACAGAACAGGCGTCATCGGTGGTTTTATGCTTGTGGAGATCACAGCCGCTGTGGGTGGGTACAGAATGATCCTCTGTAATCACTAACAGGTTCTCCGGATTCCCTCATGTTACGCTGTGTCCGTGCAGTTGTTGATTTTTGACGGGTGGCTAAGCAGAAAGGCCAAAAACGGCAGTTCAAACCAATCAGTTTTTAGGCCAAATGGCTCCAACTTTAAAATGCAAGCATTTCAAAATAAACACTAAAAGAACACTGTTCAACACAATATTCTTACAAACGCTTTGCTATTAGTTTCAGACATGGGTACTGTCTTCAGAAGATAGACGAAAAATAGTCACGACAGAAATAAAATGTTTACGGACTATGCTAGGTGTAACGAGGATAGATCGACTTAGGAACGATGATATCAGGAGAGGAGTCGGCACAGAACCAATACTGAACTTTATAGATAGGCAGCAAATCAAATGGTTTGGCCATGTAACAAGATTGCCATCAGACAGGGCAAAACAGATATAATTTTAACAGATGCAGAGGTTGACGACGCAGAGTATGGACCGTAAGGTACCGTAGATATCTCTTCATGCCCTAAAAACGGTAGGCATTCCAGGAAAAGAGAGAAGAAGACTATCAGAATTAGACTACGAACAAACCAGGATGGGGGGGGGGGGGGGGGGGAGAGAGAGAGAGAGAGACCTGGAGTGTGATGCAGAAGTTAGCACAGAGCTCAGACCGAGTTATATGAACTCTTCGCTCTGTCGGTCGCAGATCTGTTAGGAGCTGACCGCCTGAGAAGAAGCACATTGAAAACAAGCCATGACACGTTTGGTCTTGAAACCCCGTGGACTAATTGTGAAAAGTTATTTCTTAACACTTGCGGGCCTTGCTAGTCACATTCGCCATCTCCAAGGGCTGTGATCCCCATCTTTCTCTCCCTACCACCTCCCCCTTCACCTCACAATATAATGTCTGAAAAACGGAAAGGTGCCAACTAGTTCTGCATTGGGGGGGGGGGGGGGAAGGGTAGAAGCAATTCTGGGCAGTCCCCACCCCCTGAATTTCAGGTTTTGGATTTTGTCCTAGTTTCTGGAAATGAAACGATCCACTACCAGTCTCAGACCCCGTCGGTTGATAGCGGGGAGCGGGTTGGGAACTTTGCAATACGGTTCCATAAAAATGATTTGTCCTGTTGCTACAGTGAAACGTTGATTGCACTAAAGAATTGACTAGAAATCTATATCTATATGTCCGTACATCTGCGCACCTAGCCGATTATCGATCTCCATGTCTGTCCATATACCTATTCATCTAGATATCTATTTTAACATTATATATATCCTGCATCGCTTTTTCCCTTTGTATACACACACATACACACACTTTCTCTCCCTCTCAGTAAATACAGCAGTCATCTGTATTGTCTATCCCAGGTGTGGTACCACTCCAACTGCAGCTCCAAGGGACGTGGCTGCTACAACACCAACCTGACCGACCAGGGAGGATGCTGTATCTGGTACAACGAGCCACAGGTAGGCGTCAATGTTTTTATTGTCTCCGTCTTGCTCTTGTGTTTTTGTTGTCTCCTTCCTCCTCTTATGGTAGAAATACTTAGACATTGTGTTTTTGTCTCCTTCATCGTATGACCAGAAAACCCAGACGTAGACAGATATTTAAACATGTTTTGACAGATTCTAGAACTTGGTGACACCTAGCGTGATTAATAGAAAGAGTGCCAGTGGGAAGCAACTGTAGGTTTGACAAAACATAGATACCTGGATGGCCTTGTCATGTGGATGGGGGTGAGGTAAGAACACTGACCTGATCCGTGCTTTTTGGTGATCGTCCGAGTTGGCGAAAGATTACAAATTACACTTATCGGCACGGCACATGATGTCTTGACTCCTACTGTTGCATACAAGAAAACAGGTCTTAAACCAAGCTTTGCAGTCTTTCTGATTTTGGAGATTTGTTCTTACATAAAGTAGGCAATTTAACTCACTATTTTCTTGCATTTTACGGCATGCAGGGAAGGATAAAGCTAGTTGCATAACCCTTAGAGTAGGGCTGTTTAACCGGTGCCCATGGTCGTATCCGGTCCACACAGGCCTAGCAAGTGGCCCACAGATTATTATTTTTTGAATTGTAATGATGGTCGGCGTCTGTGGCTTAGGCTTTACGAACGCGCTTTGAAATCCCGGGGTGCCGGGTTCGATCCCAGCTGCAGGCCTTGCGTTGGTTTCGACAGTGGTATTGAGAAGCCGACCGTCCAGAAGGCAGTGGCAAACTACTGGACGTAAACTTACCTAGGAAAATCACAACAGCCCCAAAAAAAATGCTGGTTTTGGTTCTGCAACGTCCTGTAAAGGAAACGCAATTAACGTCATTGTAATAATGATCTTTCTATGATGGGGCTCGGTTCTCTGACCAATGACCGATTCCCGTGTTCACAATTTTGGCCCATGAGTTGCATAGCTCTGCTTTAGAGAACGTTGTGCAACCAACTTTTGTAGTTTTACTGGGGAATTTCTACGTTCAGTAGTTTGACATTAACTCTGAATGGCTGTTCTGGATAGTAAAGTAAAGGCCTTTAGGCGTATAGGGCATATAGGGCTAGACATATTTTATAGACCAACGGCACAAGATGGGTGATGTGGTCAGCATCACGCCGGCCGCCTCTACTTCCTGGGACTGCACCCGGTACCTACTCAAGGCTGGGTCGACCTGGAAGCCAATGCCATTTTTGAAGAAAAGAGCTGTTCTAGATACCACTGGCAAATCAGCCAGCAGCTGAAATCGAAGCAAGGGATCTGGGAATAAGAAATCGCCACAGAGGCTTTCGTGAATTTCACAGTGTTCCTGCACTAAAACACCCATTATAAATTCCGGTTCTTTAGTAATATCCTACCCCAGACGCCGCCACAGGACGGTCCAACGTTTTAGAGGGTAGAAAGACAGGGTTTACCGGCTTATTGATGCTTTTAACGACCCCAAAACGTCTGGTACAGTCCCTAACTCCAACCAACCTGCTTCCCACGAGAGAGTGCAGCCTAGGTCCCACGACTGCGTGCAGCCTATCTACCAGCCCCTGAAATATTAGACTGTTCCTTTACCTGTGGATTTCCCCTGTTTGGGGTAGGATATTAAGAAAGCACCCGAATTCCGTGCTACTGAAAAATCCGACGTTATAGATCCTTTTTCACACTTTCAGGCGTGTTGCACATGTATAGAGCTACAGCTATATTTTCTGACCAGTTGGCACTCGGTGGGTGATGTCATCAATATCACGCCGGTCGCCTTTACTTCTCGGGACTTTACCTGGTACCCATTTAAAGCTGGGTCGACCTGGGAGCCGAAGATATTTATGAAAAATGTCTGCCTCCATCAGGACTCGAACCTGCGATCTTCGGATACACAGGCGAACGTCTGGCTGCTACACAACGACGATTGCCTAGAAATCAGTAGTTCGTGTTAAGAAAATCGTGCCAACCAGGCACTTGAAGACATCCCTGCTTGTACCAACATGTCGTTCGTGTTAACCGAGAGTACACTGAGGTTAGTCTGGAATTGACATCGCAGCACTTGGGGCATTTCCTTATGCGCTCCGTCCCCATCCTCAGCAGCCAGCGCAGAGTTCCAATACTAATGGTGCCGGTCGTAGGCTGGTTGTAAGTCCGTCTTGCCTTTCCTCTGAGCGTTGTGTGCCGGCCGAACCCTCTGGTCACTCCCAGGTGCATCATTCTCTCCAGCCCTTAGTTATCTAGTTTCTGTTCTGACTTCCTTACTTGTTCCCAAAATAAATAGAGGGGGAATCTGTGAGGTCGTTAAATATTATGAATTAATCAAGTAACATAACGTGTATTGATCGGCACTCATAGAAAGAAGTGGAAAGATAGAAGAACACACTAGACAACATACAAATCAAAAGCTATAGTTACTGTGCCGGAATTGAACCTGTCACCTCCAGATGGCATGTGCGCCTCGCTATGACTACAAGTGCACTAAGAACATGGTCAACTAGGCACCCCCAAAAAAGGTGTCTTATTTCCCAAAGAGCCTTGACCACACCTGCCTTGTCATGTATAAGTTCACCACCCACTGATGCAGGTCAAGCCAATCCGTCTGCCTGTTTAACCGAGAGATAATAAGGTTTAACTCTACAACAGCAACATGCCTAGAATATTGTTTCGTAAACGTCTTCCTACACTTTTATCACAGCTGTGGGAGAAACGTAGGCCCGCGGGCCTTATAAGGCCCGTGAAATAATTTGCTTCGGCCTTGCCACGACAACCATTCTTCTTTTCTGCCTTTCTTTTCCCCGAATAGAGCATAGGCCCTCAACCAACTCACACCAAGTCGTAATGTCCTTCAGTATTGCGTGGAGCTTTCCCCATGTCCTCCCCATCTTTCTAACTTCATTCTCCAGCTCTCTGCCTTGCTTTAATTCCATGCCCCTTAAGGTTCCTATGCAAAGACATTCTCGTTATGCTGTTCTCCGGTTTTCTAAATGTGTGTCCTGTCCAACGCCAGCGTCTTTTCCCCAGCTCTAGGTCCACTGGGGCCTGTTTAGTTCTCTCCCAAAGTTCTACATTAGTTATTCTATCATACCATTTAATTCCCTCTATTCTGCGCAGGCACCAGTTAATGAATGTCTGTAGTTTATTAGTAATTGCCATGTTTCCGGCCCATACAAAAGTAATGGTTTGACATTATAATTAAAGATTTTAAGTTTAGTATTTCTTTTAATTTCTTTTGACCTACACAAATTCCCTAGTGCTATGAAAGTTCCTCTTGCCTTTTATATTTTTATTTTAATATCTCTATCAGTTCCCCATCTTTATCTACATTACTGCCTAAATAAGTGTACGACTCCACGTCTTGGAGTGGGGTGCCATTAAGAGAAACCACATTACTATTTGCCTGATTTATTATTATTATCTTCGTCTTTCAAGTATATTTAATTTATCTTGCATCTGATTCCGTGAATAAAACAGAAGAGAAATATCATCAGCGAAGTCCAGATCATCAAACTGTTTTGTAGGGGTCCACTGATCTCCATTCTTGATGTTAGCAGTTACTGTTTTCATAATCCAGTCTACAGCCAGTAAAAATAAGAGAGGCGACAAAAGACATCCCTGCCGCACACCTGTTTTTATTTCAAATATATGTGTTAGCTTTCCCTTATGAAGAACTCGACATTTCATATTTCTCTGTGTTGCCTTTAATAAGTTAATAATTTTCTGTGGGATTCTATAGTGCCCCGTCAATTTCCAGAGAGATTCCCTATTAATGCTGTCAAATGTTTTTTCATAGTCTATGAATCCAATGTAAAGTTGTGAGTTCAGTTCAGTGCTTTGCTCTGTTATACGTAATGTGGCTATCTGGTCAGTACAGGATCTGTTTGGCCGAAAATGTGCCTGTTCATCTCTTAGCTTTTTATCAATAGAATCTTTTAATCTTTCCAAAATAATTATATTTAATATTTTTCCAGGAACTGACAGCAACATAATTCCTCTATAGTTTTCACACTCCTGTAGATAACCTTTTTTTTTGGGTAGTTACATAAGATATCCTTCTCTCCAGTCTGCTTGAATTTCTTCGGTCTCCCAGATTTTACTAAATAATCTATGTAGCAATTCCGTTCATATGTTCATGTTGGCCCTAATGGCTTCTGCTGGGTACCATCTGGACCTGCCGCCTTTCCTTCCTTGAGAAGATTGATAGTTTTATAATTTCTTGTTTAGATAGTATCTCACAGTTGATGTCCAGTTCCATTTCTAAAAGCTCGATATCTGGAGGAACCTTTGGGCCTTGTCTATTTAGAAGCATTTCAAAATTTTCGGCCCATCTGTTCATTTGATCCTTAGTGTTAGTAAGTACCTTTACTTGACTAATTTTATTATATTTTCGTGACTTTATTTACCTAATAATTATCTTGTGTTACTGTAAAGTTCTCTGATGTTTCCTTGTGCTGCTGCTGTCTCCGCTTCTTGTGCTAGATCATTTAAATATTTCACTCTGTCTGCCCTTATACGCCTCCTAACTTCCTTATTGGCTTCTGTGTATTTATCCTGAGCTCTAGCTTTAGCAGCTCTAGTTTTGCCATTACAGCTTTTATTTGTATGGCCCATCAGTGATGTAAATATGCAAATGACCCATGGGATCCCACCTCTTTAACCCCAAATTTTTGTGTAAACATATTAAAAGGTTAATCTTCCAATTCGGCTTTAAACGGGCAGTTGACACATAGCCTTGTGATTTACACAGCTAGACAGCCATATCTGCGCCTTTCTGCCGAACACGTCCAGTTTCAGCAAACTTTTAATTAGTCGCCGTCTGCGGTACGCTTATTCTCTTCTTGTTCCAGAATTTGAGTTTTGCCTGCATATCCGTTTAACTCATCTCGCTTATTTGTAAGTAGACTGTTGGTTGTGTGTGTGTGTGTGTGTGTGTGTGTGTGTGTGTGTGTGTGTGTGTGTGTGTGTGATGCAGAATTGTTTCAGCTTGGAAGGAAACACCACTATTGAGTCGA